AATTTATTATTTATGTTATATTTTCGTTTTAATTACAATATAAAGCAATGAACGCCATTCGCTTTGGCACCACTGTGCAGCTGTGCACTGTGTCAGCAATAAGCGTAAGTTCAATGCAATTGCTGCAGTAGCAAACAGGCAACATCGTTAACACAGTAGAAATAGAAGGAAACAAAAAAAAAAAAAAAAAAAAAAAAAAAAAAAAAAAAAAAAAAAAAAAATAGGTATTAACGAGCATTTTGGAATTTAATGAAAAAAAAAAAAAAAAAAAAAAAAAAAAAAACAAGTCGCGCATATTCGGCTCGGCGAAACAAGTCGCGCATATGACATGTGTAATGAAGTCTTAATAGTTGCACAGATAATGCCAATGGCTGTCAGCGCATTTGCTGGGGCTTGGGTCGGCGGCAAAAAAAAAAAAAAAAAAAAAAATATCTGCGTATGCATAATTAAAATAATGTTACTCATACGACGCGTTGGCTGCCGTGATAATTGCACAGAGTTTGGCAGCAACTGCAATTGCAATTGTTTATTTGTTTAAAAAAAAAAAAAGGGTGTTGCAATAAGCGTCGAGCATGGCATTTGGCCACAGCCAGAATTAACAAAAAAAAATGTCTTTCGCTATTTACCATGCACTTTAATTATTTGCTTGATGTGCAAAAACATAATCAACTGGCTCTGGCGTGGCTTTAATGTGCTCCGAGCATTTTTCATTTTGGGCAATTGAAAAAGTTTTCACTGCGGCATTTTAAAAACTGTTTTTGGGCAATCGGCAATTGGGAATTGCCAATTGGCAGTCGGCAACTGGCGCCTGTCGACGACGACGACGACGGTGACGGCGACGTTGACGTTGACTTCGACATAATCACGCGCTTTAAAAGCTGCTGACAGTTTAACGATTTTGTGGGGATTGTTTGTTTTGTTGCTGTTGTCGTTGTTGTTGTTGTTGTTGTTTGCTGTTTGCTGTTTTCGCAACATGCAACCGTGCGTAGCAGCAGCAGCAACCAAAAAACAACAAAAGAAAGAAAAACTTTGGCCAAAAAAACAGCTAACGAAAAAACCAACAAGTGGAGATTTTCATGGGACAGCTAATTGGCTGCTGTGACATTAAATGCCGTCAACAATTTGTCCTGCATGTCGATGTCAGCACAGGGACGGTCAGACAGTGAAATTGGCGCCAATTGGAAAGAGAGAGTTGGCCCAAAGGGAGCACATGGTGGGGAATGAAAGGGCCGGCGTGTAGGAGTACGTTAGCTCGTTTGTCAATAATTCGCCTACTGTATAAAGAGAAACCAAAAGGAACGAAGGAAAACAAAAAACTGAACCGCGCGCGTCGAGCAACTAAATCAAAAAACAACAAACAAAAAACTCTTGTTGCACGATTTTTGAACGTGTTTAAGCCAGCCAGCCAGCCAGGCAGGCAGTCAGTCAGGCAGGCAGTCAGGCAGGCAGTCAGTCAGGCAGGAGAGGCCAATGCCAATAGCATATAGAGTCTCGAAAGAAAATTGTTAGCCTTTGCCTTAATTTGTCGACAAATTTTTCTTAAGATGCAAAATGCAGCCAGCGGCTCTTAGGGGGCACGTACACATCATCAGTTTCCATTTCAGCAGCATCTCAGATTTGTGGCACGAACGTGAACTTCATGCATTGTCGTCAAACTGAAAATTTGTAACAAGACCCAGCAGTCAAGAGCCAAGAGAAAACAAATTAAATTGTTGCCACTTGTGTCACAAAAA